GAGGCATCATAGGGAACCACCAACTGTTCAGAACAGCTGGCAGTTCTCTCTAGGCACCACATGCCCCAGGCAGGGCAGGGGCAGGGACAGGGGTGAGAGACTTCATGCGCTCCCATGCCTCCAGACCTTGATTTGCCTGGGGATGGGGGAAGCATGCGAAGTCTCCTCTCACTGTGTGTGGCGCTTAGAGGGGAATTGCCAGCTGTTTGAAACAGCTGGCAGCTCTCTCTAAGAAGCAGAGGGCAAAGATTTCATGCACTCCCCAACCCCAGGTCAGTCAGGGTCTGTGGGTAGGGGAGCACGAGAAGTCTCCTGGCCCTTCCGCCTAAGGGCCCCCCCCTTTTTCAATAATTACTTCCCACCTTTTGTCTGAGAGATTTCACTGCCCACCCTATTGAAGGGTGGGTATTGCTGTGTTGTATTGGAACTTTAGGCATATGATTGCAGAGGGGATGCACTTGAGTTGGTGGGGAACAGCAGCCTATATCTGCCTTTCTAGGAGCCTTCTGCATGAAAGAAATGTTCAAAATCTTGCTTTTGGTGCACAAAAGTGTGAAAGTTTATAGCTTCTGGTTGCTGCAGTTCAATTTAAGAAGTGATGTGATTGGTGTATTTATCCCACTTTTTGAGAGCACGTGAAGAAAGAGCTGAAGTTTTATTTAAAGATCATTCTGCTAAGAGAACCTTTTCAATAGCTATATTTCACGCATGATATAAGTAAATGAAGTGTACTTTCTCAATTAAGCTTTACACAGCACGCAAGAGGGGATGAAAGCTCTGCCTTCCCACAATAGTCTGTGTGAGTGTTTTGGAACAGCTCAGATTTGTATATATAGCATTGCAGCTTTATGCTATAGACAGCACTGCAGGGCATAGCTTCCCACTTCCTTTCCCAGAACAGGGGATCAGTTTAAAGTAAGACTTAATGACGGGCAAATTCAGATCACAGCAAAAAATATTAAAGACAGAGTAACTAAAATGAACCTAAAGCTGATGGTGTAATTGTGTTATTGCATTGTGTCCCTATACCCTTTGGCAAAGAAACCTCAATAGCATAATTATTCTAATGACACTTTCAAGGAATCATTGGTGTGTTCTAACAAGTGTAATTGTTTTAGTGCTTAAGATGCTTTGTGTGGATGAACGAGTTTAATTGTATCAAATCTCTTGTTTCAGCTTTTACTTGGCAGAGATCTCAATGGCTTTGGGGCACTTACATCAAAAAGGAATCATCTATCGAGATCTGAAGCCGGAAAATATCATGCTAAATCATCAAGGTGGAAATATAATAAACAATTATGTAGCCAATAATTCTCTCAAAATCCTTTCTCAAAGGTCACAGAACAATATAAAATTACCTCAGAAAACTGTTATTACTGTTTTCCTTTCTTCCTGCTATATCCAAACAAGTAGCTGTCATTGGCTATGCTCTAGTCATGGCATACAGTTCATTGTAGTAGTTACTAGGGATGTTAAATATTGGTTAATTGAATAGTCAATTAACCTCATGAATTCTTATCAGTTAGTTGACTATTCTATTGTCCCTGGGCAGCCCCTGTCTAGGGGGAGGGGTCTGAGCTCCCGGGCCCAGCATAAACTGGAACAGCCGGGCTGCTGGCCCGCCTGGTTCCTAATACACTTTAAATGCAGAGCCGCAGCAGGGATAGGCCCAGTACCCAGTGCAAGCTGGGCTGCTGGCCAGCCTGCTAAAAAATTTACTGGCAAAGGGACGTGTGTGGGGGGGAAATGCGTGTAGTCTATAGCATTAACCTATAAGCTTTTGCTTATCAGTTAATCGACTCTACTATTACATCCCTACTAGTTACAGTACATTAGTACTGGAGGTGGCAGAACAAATAGGTCAAGAAGTTGCAAGAGACTTTTAGGGTAAGCCCACTGAAGACTTTTGCATTCCATAGTGTGATAGTCACAAGTGACTGAGTCACCTATCCATGATATTTGAATTCAAACCTGTTCTGTATTTTTTGTGTTTACAAATAACTATGCTAACAAGTTTTAAAACCCTGTCATTTGATCATGGCAGCAAGTCCAAAGCTCTGTGTGTGTTTAAACCCTAATGCCTGCAGCACTATTGATCAGTTTCAGCAAATTCTGGCATTAAAGGACTTAAAAGACTACTTTTAAGTAAGCTGGTTTCCAAAGTCTGGATTAAGCATAAGACTAAATGACTTGATTTCATCTGGGCAGCAGTGGAGTCTTTTGTAGACATATTGTTTTCTTATATGTAAAAACTTTGTATATGAATAATAAAAAAAAATCATGGTGCCAAATAATTAACAACTTGATTCTGTATGACTGGGAATAAGCTCATATAAATAGAGTCTGGAAGCTGCTGCTTAGATGTATTTGTTTCTTAGTGCCTAACTAGTAGAAGGGTTGCAATAAGATGTGAGCATCTCGTTCATTGAGAGTTACTACAGGTCTAAGAAATGAAAACAAAACATGAAGACACTTTTTCTATTGGTTTGAGATTGTCTTGGTGGCTTTGCTATGTTTATGTTCCTCTTCACTGGACCTGTATGTAGTTTTCACCCATTTGACCAAAGCTTTTGATAGAGTCAACAGAGGGGATCTGTAGTTTTTTCTAAATAACCTGGGCTGCCCAAGAAGGTTCATACAAATTCATCTGTTCCATGACCACATGACAGTGCAAGTACTTGGCAGTGGTGACTTTTTCAATGCATTTGAAATCTCAAATGGAGTGAAGCAAGGATATGCCCTTGTTCTAGTGCTGTTCAGCTTGTTTGCTTGTGTTTTCAGCCATGCAACATGGGGCTTGGATCAGGGGATATACATCTGCTACCAACTTGATGGCTCTTTCTTTGGACTTTGAAGGCTCAGTGCTAAGACCAGATACTGGAGAGTCTTCTCTTTGAGGCACTTTTTGCAGATGTCTATGAGCCATCAAGGCGCAATCAAGACAACCTTCAGGTCATCATCGATAGATTTTTTTTATTTTTTTTTTTAAATCATCTCAGTGCTTCGGCTTCACTGTCAGTCTTGGAAAGACAAAGGACTTGTTCCTAACAGCACTACATTCCAGTGTCTCAATGCAAGACATTTTCATCCAAGAGAGACAGTTGGAAAATGTGATCATTTCAAGTATTTGGGCAGTACTCTCTCAAGTGATGCCTCCTTTGATAACTTACTCTCCAGAATTACTAAAGCCAGTGAGGTCCTTGGCTGACTTTGAACAAAAATTCTTAGCCAGCACATCTGTCATTTCCCCAAATTGAAGAGCTACAGTTCAGCGATGCTAATTTTCTCTTCTGAATGGATCTGAAACATGGACTCTTTATAGACATCGCTATAAACAGCTTGAGCAATTTCACATACACTCTCTTCTCAATAATTAGCATTTGCTGGCAGGACAGAGTGACTGATATTAAGGTCCTTGAGAGAAAAAACACAGCCAGCATTGAGGAAATGTTATTGACAGCACAATTTAGGTGACCTAATATGCCATCTGAATGGAAGATGCCCATCTCCCAAAATAAATCTTGTATGGGAAGCTGAGTCTGCAAATAAAGGAAGGGTCAGCCTTTTATAATCACTTCAAAGATAGTCTGAAGAGCAGTCTCTAGTGAGTTGGTATCAATCCCAAAGAACTTGACCAAATGGCTCAAAACAGGACTCGTTGGCGGTCTCTTGTAAAATCAGCATGTGACAAGTTTGAGCAGGGTGCAATGAAAAAGACACAGAGATGCATCATCAAATATTGATGACTTATGGATAACTCTGTGCATCAGGATTTGGACTGTGAGGGCATATGAGAATGGCCTCATCATCAGTGATGGTCTATCTAATATACGTACACACAATGTCAACATTTCTTCAGGCAAAGATAAGCCTGTACCTTTACAGACTATATTTTAAGATTTTTTTTTTTAAATAAAGTAATTTTTCAATCTTGTCATATCAACAGATGTGGACTCTGCCTCCTGGGAAATGTTCTGTTTCCTTATAGACAAGGAAAGACATATTTATATTCTCCATTTTATAAATGACATTTATGTTGAGTTGCTGATATCCATGTGATTGTGTTGTCAGAATTCAGAGTGGTTTTAGAATTAGATATTTTCTTTTATTTCAGGTCATGTTAAACTAACAGACTTCGGACTATGTAAAGAGTCTATTCATGATGGAACAGTCACACACACTTTCTGTGGAACAATAGAATACATGTGAGCTGCATGATGAAACAGAAAAGTATTACTCTGGTCTGGGGGTAATGGCTAAATTTTACCTTTTTTAACTGATGGTTCAATATGTTCAGTTATGGAACTTTCAGATTATGAATGTGGATTATGTTTAAAAACTTGAAACCTGAACCATAATTAAATGTTTAATAAAATACTTTCCTATTTCTAATTTTTCTCACTTTAGGGCTCCTGAAATCTTGATGAGAAGTGGGCATAATCGTGCTGTGGACTGGTGGAGTTTGGGGGCATTGATGTATGACATGCTGACTGGCGCAGTAGGTGCACAGTTAAAAACTGCATGCATTTTATTCTACATGACTGATCATTCAGGTGTAGGTGTAGATAGATGTGTGTGTACTTATCAACTGCTGGTGCGAAACCCAATTAAAAATGGCTAAATCATGGTCTTGTGCTGTTCTGTAATAGCCCAAGAAATACTTAGTCACATGTGAATCAGTTATCCCTGTTTCACAAGTGGCTGAAACTAGCCCTGTACCAAGTATGCAAATGAAGAGAACAGAATAGGTTTTTGTTAATGGCAGTGGTTCTCAAGCTATGGATCGTGAGTTCTTTTTTATGGGGTCACTTAAGGCACTGGGGTCATGTAATGTTTGTTGTTGGGAGAGGGATTGCAGTGCAGTGATAGAGAGCAACTGTGTTATAGATTGTCACATGTTGTGTTTTTCATCACACTGCAATTATGTTTTTTCAGCCCCCGTTCACTGGGGAGAACCGAAAGAAAACCATTGACAAGATTCTCAAATGTAAACTCAACTTGCCTCCCTACCTCACGCAAGAAGCCAGAGATCTGCTTAAAAAGGTAGTTTTAATTGTTAATCCTACACATATATGCAAATGTTAGAAACATATTGATCAAAATTGCTATGCTGCTTTTTTCCAGGTGAATCATAGTGCTGCTATATTTCAATCAACTTAATCTTTTAATGGAGCTTGGTTCAGTCTTCAAGTTGCATGAGGCAGAAAATAATGCTTTGTTTGAAAACACCTTTCTGAAGTTCTGAGACCTGTCTTAACGTTGTTTAGAGACAAGGTAGGTGAGATAATATCTTATTGTAGCATTTCTATATAAGCTCAAAAGATTCTTTCTCCAACAGAAGTTGGTCCAATAAAATATAACTCACCCACCTTGTGTCTAGTATCCTGGGGCCAAAATAATGGTAATTATTAAAGTTGTTTGTAATTTCACTGTATAACTACGAAGCGGTTAGACCAAATAATATTTTAACACAGATGTAAAATATTTCTATTAATGATAATTAGAAGAAATACTTGTTATAAAAATTGATTTAACCATTTCAATAAATCGTTTCCTTGGTGTTTTTCTCCTCTAAGCTGCTAAAAAGAAATGCTGCCTCACGTCTAGGAGCTGGTTCTGGAGATGCTGCAGAAGTTCAGGTAGATTTTGTTGAATATCTCTTGATTATTTTATTGAGAAACAAGATACAAGGACTACCCAAGAAGAATAGACCTGGAACATGTAATTTTCTAAGCATAGTGAGAGCAGAGGCATGGATTTATACAAGTGGTTAAATGTTTCCTCTGGGGAATTTAAGAAAGGACTAGATAGACGTTTAAATAATAAAGGGCTCAAGGAAATAGCTAGTGGGGTAAAGATGGAGTGCTAAAGACTTTTTTTCTCTCCTCTCCCATTCACGTTTTTTTTTTTTTTAAGTTTTCCTACATCTCCTCTCCCCCTTCCTTTATGACTCACTGAACAAGTTGATGCATTGTGGTATTCTAGTGGGTTGGTGAATAACTCACACATTATTACATTTGGGGTTGAGTGTCATTCAGGAAAGATTATTGTTGCTTGCACTCATCATACGAAACAGACATAACTCAGTTCTTACCTCTACAAAATTATTGAATGCTTTTCCCCAGCCTATACAGGTTGGGTTTTCTGACTGTATTTAAACTTCACCTGTACACCTCACATCATTCCATATTTTTATAGTGTTATAGTTAATTGCCAGTTTTATGACATTGCTGTTAGAAATAAATATTTTTTGAGAGATGTATATATGCAATGGCACGTTAACTCCATGCTTCCAATCTAGGTTATTTTTTCTGTTTTAATTTCTGATCTGTTCAAATTACGAGAATAATAAACAGAACCAAAGCCTACATATGCCTAAAAGAGACAATAGGCATAATGTGCAGAATAGTAATATTCTGCCATTCCCAGCAAATTATATTAGAAGATGTCAAGTACAGGCAGTCCCCAGGTTACGTACAAGATAGGGACTGTAGGTTTGTTCTTAAGTTGAATCTGTATGTAAGTCGGAACTGGCGTCCAGATTCAGCCGCTGCTGAAACTGACCAGCGGCTGACTACAGGAAGCCCGAGACAGAGTTGCTGGGGCCAACCCGGCAGCACCCCAGCTGCTCTACCCCAGGTGTCCCCAAGTCAGCTGCTGCTGAAACTGATCAGCGGCTGA